TGAAAGGATGTCAAAGAAAATTAGAGCAGTTTTGGTGTGATTTAACATGAAGATAAACAGAATAAATCTGTTTATCTTCATGCAACACAAACTTGTCAACCTCAGATGAAAAATAGGAAAACATTCAATCAATTCAATAAAACTAAAAGAAGATAAATATACAAATTTAGACAGACATCTTGAAAAAAAATCAAGATTATAAAAGGTAAGTCAATTGATTAAATTGTCATTAAGAAAATACCTAAACTTTATCTCTAACCTAATCTTGAACATCAGTAAATCTGTAATATAAAATAGTAGTTAATAAATTTAAACTTTCTAAGAGAATAAGATTATATCTTATGTTGTTCTAATATGGTTAAAATAAGTTATTAAAACTAAAAATAAAGATTAAAATTTTGATAATAGTAAAAAGAAAATAAAGAGAAAATGATTATTAAAGAACTTATATTGTCATTTTTATTTGTCGCAAGAAGTTGTTGGTTTGTTGCACCTACCTCGCCCATAGCAGGGGAGGGTTAAATAATTCTCAAATGGCGATAAACAGAACAAACCTGTTTATCTCTATGCAACACGAGCTCATCAGCCTCAGATAAACAGTAAAAAACATTCAATTAGAACTATGAGAATTTATAAGATACAAACTTAGATATCTAGAAAAAATTCAAAATTATAAAGGTGAGAAAATGTGAAAATGTAAAAGAATAAATAGAAAGACAAAAAACTTTTTATCATTTTTTTTACTTTAATTAATATGATTTAGTGACATTATTTGATTCAAATTTTGTATATTTATTAAGTTTAATAAGACTTTATATTTTATATTTAGTTTATGTTTAATTTTAATTTTAGGTTTAATGCATATATTTGTTTTTATGTTTAAATTAATTTATACGCTTTAATGCAGTTATTCATTTTATAATTAGTTTATATTTGATTTAACTTATCTTATAGCAATTAGTGGGATTATAACTGGTTTTATGCTTAGTTTGTATATAATTTAAATCTTTTATTTAGTGCTATCAATCGCTTTATATTTAACTTAAAACATCTGTAACAAACTTTAGAACTTTAGATTAACTTTGTTAAAACTAGTTTCATATATAAACTAACCTAAAAAACCTAAACTTTAAATTTTAATGATATGGTGGCAACCTTGTGTAAAGATAAAGAGCTTATTTGTTAAAAGAAAAAAATTATTAAATTGTTTTACACTTTACTGTAATTATGTCACAGATTTTACACATACAATGCCTTGGTAAACAACTAGCATATAGTTTTAATATTAGTTACCACATTTTAACAAATTATAACAAGTTAATAATATTTATGATATTAAAATATAATAGTTTCAAATTTAAAGGATTTTATATTTTTACAAATTTTAAATTAGTTTTCATTGTTTTATTACTTCTTTTTACTGTTAAAACATGTTTTCATTAAGTATTATTGACATATTGATTAATGCTTTAAACACAAATGTTCATAAACCTTCTGGCACTGTACCTCTAAAGGATTTACGTAGTAGTTAATAAGAGGCAAATAAATTAGAAACATATTTGTCAGATAAAAAGTAACATGCAAAACTGAAATAAGATAAAACTATGATTTTCCGAGTACCTTTAAATGCTAATTCATTACCAACCCTCAGAATTAGGAAAAATGAGGTTGGCAACAATCTGCCGACCTCAACCTTTTAGAGGTCAGCAAAAAAAAATTAATACAAAAGTCTTACCATAAAACATAGAAACAAGGTCAGCAATTTTTTGACAATCTCAAACACTTTAAGGTTAGCAATAAGGTCGGCATTGCCAAATGCCGACTCCGAGGGTTGCATTACCAATTTAAACAAATTTGTTTATACACAAGTCATTTAGAAGTTAAAATAATATTCATCATCATTTTTTTAGGTATTAAAGTATGTATTGACGATATAAAAATTTCAAACTTTTTCTTTATCTGTTATGGGAATTTATATTTAAAAATTTAGAAAGATCTGCTTCAACAAAGTTAATGCATTAAAAAAATTATTTGACATATTGATTTTTGATTATTGAATTTGCTCTTGTTTTAGAACAAAGAATAAAGGCTTTTCAGTACAATTTGCCACAACAGCACACAAATATATCCTCATTACTATTTCTAAATTTGAAAACATTTCTTCTAAAATTTCATTTTTAATAAACTTCAACATGATTCTTACTTATTACAAAGTTCCGATAAATTGGTTTGTATTAGATTTAATTCTTTGAAGGGATCATTAACTGCCAAATCAAGTTGTATTCATATTAAAGAAAATATTTTTAAAAAAAACTAAATAATAAATGTGTATCAATAAAACTAAAATTGTTGTTTTAGTCAAAGCCTTCGCTATTTTACTTTGGTTGTTGGAGCCTTTATAATGTACGTCGCAATCTATAGACTTGATAATTTAATTCATGCGCACTTAATTCATAACAGTTTCAGTATATAATATCATATTTTTTCCCCAATAAATAAAAAACCATATTTATTTTTATAATTTTTCATTAAAATCTAAAAAAATGTTCATAATGCAATTAAAGATAAAGCAATATAATTGGTTTTTAGATTTGATTAGCCTAGCTTGTTTTTAAGAACTGTCTGAAAATTTTTTAATTAATGTTTCTTATATAGTATATATTGCATATTATATTTGAATTGTTTTTTTAACATAATAGAAACATTTGTAGACAAAAAATGTTTAAATAATTTATTTTTCCTTACAATTAATATATTGGCATAGTGCTGTGAGTATTCTAATATTTTAACTTCTAATTTTTAAAGGCACAGCTATATAAGTAGGGGGTTCAAATCCTTCAGTGGGAACTACTTTTTTTAATTTTAAATGTTTTATTTCAAAGTAGTTTATGTTTCTAAATTAATATTGTTGTTTACTTATAGCTACATTAAATTTAGGGATGGCAATCTCGGGATCCCAAAATCCCGAGATTTCCGTAATTGTTCATCCCAAAATCCTGGGATTAGTCTCCGAAATTTCCCGGGATTTCGGGATCATCAAAAAAATTAAAATTTAATAAAGTATAAGCTTATAATTGCAATTAAGTAATTTGTACATTGTCTTTGAATTAGTAGCTGTTTGGTTGTGTAACTATTTATTCGATTTGCAATGTTTTCTTTTTAAAACTCTCTCTCTATTTTATTAAAATTAAAAACTCAAAATGTTTTGGCTTGACTGCAAAATATGTACGATCAAACATAAAATATAATATTATATTATATTATACTATATATATATATATATATATATATATATATATATTTATATATATATATATATATATATATATATATATATATATATATATATATATATACATATATATAGTATAATATTAAAACTAGTATATTATATATATAGAGTATAATATTAAAACTAGTAGGGATAGCAGTGGAGTGCACATACATCGACTGAGGGTTTAGGTTAGTGAGTATAATATTAAAACTAGAAGGGAGCTGCAGTGGAGTGCACATACATCGACTGAGGGTTTAGGTTGGTGCAGGCATTCTTTTAAATAGAAAAAAAAAGTATTTCAATATTTAAATAAGGTTTATAAATTATTAAAAAAAAAATCATAAATTAAATTTATTAGGATTTTTAGATGAAATAATCTAATAAATTAAAAATAACTTATGTTTAAATGCCCTTGTACAAATAATAATAATAGGTTGCACGCGTGTACAAATAATACCATAAAAGAAACTGTTAAAGGAATTTTAAATAGTTTAGATAAAATGTTGCTTTTTTTTAAAAAAAAAACATCTTTAATTCCAACAAGAATGCAAGCAACCACTATTAGAGTTGGAAGTTACTGGAAGAGAAAAGATGAATTTTATACAGCTAGATAACGATTGACAAACTTAAAAAATTCCAATTTTTATAGATCAGGAAAACAAGTTAAAGGGAGCGAATTCCAAAGAACTGATGTTCGAGGAAAAAAACTAGTTAAATAAAAATTTTCAGAGCACTTAGGAAGTCACAGTAAAAGGATGAGACTAAATTGAATGATGAGTAACACCAGAATGAATTTCAGTAGATAGCAAAAAAAAAAAAAACGATAGCTCTTTAGAGCAGTGCCCATTATAGAATTTATAGAAAAGAGAATGAGAAGCAACATTACTATTATATGTTTTAGGCAAAAATATGGGTTTTAAAACTTAAAATATGTTATTATATGTTTTAGGCAAAAATATGGGTTTTAAAACTTATAAAACAAATACAGAATACAATCAGTTGTCAGTGAATGCTGATATAAAATGGACTTACTGTTTCAGTTAATTTTGTCTTACACATAAGGTATTTCTATGTATAATATAAACTTTATTCTAATTGATTTAAAAATACAGGAGACCAAAATTCAAATACCAATATTTTAAGGTACGCATGATTTTATAAGGTACAAGTACTTGTAATGAAAAACAGAGATATAAAATATTAAAATAACTTGTATTGTTTTAAAATATTTATGTCAATTCTGATTTTCTTCATTAAACATCTTTCGTGAAACAACATTTCATTTTAGCTTGTGTGCTTTTGAAGTATGGCTTTAACTTAGTAATAAATTTTTATTTATGAACCTTAACTGATTATTTGCCCCCAATTTATGAATTAAGTAATAAGCTAATTAAAGGTAAAAAAGATAAAGGTATAATAATAAAATTATGAAATCCAATTCTTTTAAATCAAATACTACTAGGTACAAAGTAAGATAAAAGCATATCATAAGAGTCCATCAATATCTCATTAGTTTATTGTCAAAATTATTCAACATTTACTAATACTGCAAGTCTAAAACCTATATATAATATTAGGTATTAACATATTAACAAAAATCCTTATAAATTTAAACTTTAAATCATAGTAGGAAATTAATATTTGCTAGAAACCAGCAATATATTGGTAATACAAGTAATAATTTGCATATTTCTAAATTTTCAGGTTAAAAATCGTTTAACAAAACCTTAGTAATAGATCCGATAAAAACTTCTCTGTACTCCTCTCCATCAATATCAGTAACTTCAAATTTATTGCCAAAATCACAAAAGGCATAACTAAACAACCCACGAACATCACCAGATATAAACTAAAATCATTAAAAGATAATAATTGTAAAATTAAAAATAATATCAAACCTAAAAAAGTAAAATAGAAAGTGAATTTTACATACATACATGCATACATAAGTGCATACATTTTTTTGTACTTTTTTTTTATATTAAACTCAATTATTATTTGTTATAAGCTAATAAAAAAAATATTTACTACACATTTAAGATTTTAAAAAACTAATTAGATATTGCATTTACTGATCAAGATAGGAAAAAAAAAAATTTATAAAATCAATTTAAAAGCTTAAATACAAACTTTGAATGTGCAACTGGCAAAAATTTTGATATAGTAAAGAAAGAAAACGCTACATTTCAACAAGTAAATAAAAACCTTTGTCTCTTCCGAAAATTAGAAAACCTCCGGAAACTCTGCAGATTTGGTAACTACCTAATTTCTGAATCAAAAATTCTTGAAAAGTTTGTAAAACTTCACAAAAAATGGCAGCTTATGGTATAGCAACAAATTAACTTGGAAAATTATAAAGTTTTAGGTAAACACTTTTTACATTATTTTGTAATATATATGGGCAATTCCATTTTTAACTTATGTTACACACTCAACAACTTAATCAAATATTTGCCTATTTAAACTTAAAATTAAACTTTAAGTTATTTTGTATAAAAGCTGTTAGTCTAAAGAATAAAGTAAGCTAAAATGCTTTGAGTCTGGTCAAAAGAGGGCGAGCTTATAACTGAAAACGCTACTTAATTTACATTACATTGAAAACAAGGTAAAAAAAATTCTTTAACTTTTAGTCAGATTTCTGCAAATCAGTAAAGCTGTTTGTATTAGAAACTTTCACAAGATGTTAAGAGTTCTATACCAATTTAAAAAATATATAAAAATTTATTAGAGACCGGCTAAGAAAAATAAACTGGTTTTTTTGATACTATATATTTAACTTACGTTACATCAATTATGTTACAGAGCAACTATTATCATGGATTTATTATATCTATTATTAGGAGTTAGAGTTACATAACAAAATAATTGGAAAAGTATTGAACTCTTATTAAAAATTCACAAAAAAAAATTTAGAAAACTGATGGCACTATTCGTGAGTAATTTTTCATAACATTTATGAAAGTTATCATATCGAAAACAGTTTTTCCGCAAGACCAAGAACAACTTTAAAAAAATATTTTAGTATTACAATTTTATTAATACTTATTTGAGACGTTTAAACAAGAAAATCTTTGGTTTGTCAAAGTTTTTTTTTACATTTCTTAGGTTTAAGCATATTGCCTTATTTTCATTTGTGACAGGAGGGAAGGGGTTAAGAATTGACAAACATAGGGTGACGTGCTTTATGAATGATCCCCCTTGATTGCATTTACAAATGATTTGTTTTATTTTGTGGTCAAGTATTTATAAAGCAAAGTTAATATGAAAAAAAATGTTTCTTTAAATAGAAATATAAATTCTTTCATAAAAAACATTTATAAAACATATGTTTTTTAATATTTTACATAAATATTGTTAATAAATATCAAAAACAAGAATTAATTTTTAATTATAATTAAAAAATATGTCAAATAACAAATATTGATTAATGAATAATGTTGAGTATTTTGATTTTATTACATATAACATATAATATAAAAATATTACTAATAACTTTTCAAACTTACATAAATGGGTGGTGTTTGCTCACGACAAAAATTATTTAAAACAACTTGGTCAGAAAATGGCATCTCAGTAATTACCACGCACTATTGAAAAAATAAAAGATTAAAAAATTACTATTTAAAAAATAATATTAATTCATAAATTAGATTTTAGTATACAAGTTAACATAAAGTCTAATGTAAATCAGAAGTTTAAACTCACATGATAAGACTTTAAAGATGGAAGATTACTCAGAATATCATCTTTTATAATTTGTACTGAAACATGTGGATTTAATTCTGCAAGACGTGATCTACACGCTGATGCTCTAAAAATCATTTATTTTGTATATTTAAGAAAGAAAATAAAAATTAGTTAGTTCCACTACAAGTGAGGCCGCCTCACTTGTAGTGGAACTAAGCTTTGGGGAGGATAATGCATAAGAAGAAAATTTTTAAAAATGACATTGATATATCAAACAATGTATATATACATGTAGGGTGGGATGTACATTTTTTTTGAAAATTTCTCTTGTTACACTCTTAGGTTTCTTTTATATAATAAAAAAACAATAAATTTTTAAATTTTTTGAATAAAATATATTTTTAGCGCAATATTACTTTCAAACATGGTTTGAAAGTAATATTTGCGCGGCGTGACATAAATAACAAAACTATTAGATAAAAATAAATTTATAAAAAAAAACACTATTTTTGAATACAAAACTAATGTGTACATATTTATTTCATTTTGGTTAGAATAAAATACATTTAAAAAAAACAAACTATTATATGAAATAAAAGCATTTAAAAAAAAAAATCACAACAGGAAACTCAAAATTCTGTCCACTTTTAAAATATATATTGTTTATTTTAGTTTCTTTTATCCTATTGTTTACATTAAAGATGAGTTTCGTATCGAATCAATGTTTATTTTTATTTCCTCAATAATTTCTTACCTATTTTTTATTTATTCTATAGTAATGTTTAAACAGCTTTAAAACTTTTTTATTATTTTTCAATAAAATAAAAATATAAACTGTATGTAGACAAGATTAATCTAAAAAATTTCCTAAGTATGAGTACTTAGGAAATTTTGTTTATACAAATTGATTTTTCTCCACTTCGTAAGAAAAAGAAGTGTAGATAAAACAATCAAACCAGTCTCTAAAGAAAATATGCACACATATGAAGACGTGGAAAAGAAAGTTGCAAATGAAACAAGATTTTATATAAAACTGTTTGTTTAAATTAGACAGCTTACAAGTTATGGTCGAAATTTGATAAAACAATAAGCTTATAATAATTCTGTCAACAATTATTTTGAATTATAAATTTCTGATATCAATTTTATATATGTTAAAACAACCTTACAGTGTTGACTTTTAAATCACATAAAATCACTGAGTTTTTGAACATATGTCAATAAAATAAAAATAAAACGCAAAAAGCATGCTAAATAATTTTTGATCTGGCTGACATGACATCATGACTAGGGATAAACAAAGTTTATTGATTAGTCAAGACTTGTGCGTGATTTTAAAAGGTTTTATTGAATTAGTTGTAATAGTAAAAAGGAGCAATCTTACTCCAAGAAAGTGAACTTGAGTTGAAATTCTTCTAAAACAAGGAGTTCAGAGGAAGGATATTTCTAGTAAAGTTAGTGTTAGTGAAGCACCTGTTTGCAGACTTTGAAAAATGCTGAGTTTGAGATTGATTTTTTCACCCAGACGCAATTCAAAATGTGATTGCAAAAGAATAATAAGCACAAGAGATCTGGTACGAGATTGTAAAAAGATTAGAAAAGCAACAAGTAAACTGCTGCAGGGCATTATGGAAAAGCACAGTGTTTCTATTAATGAATGAACAGTTAAAAGAAGATTGTTTGACATGGGGTTTAAAACTTGTAGCCCATTGAAGAAGCAAAAACTACTTCCTCAAATAAAAACTAAACACCTCAACTGGGCGAAGCACGTTTTGCTCCTGGACAAAAGAAGATTAGGAAAGAGTTGTTTTCAGTGATGAGAGTTGCAATGTTCTGAGCAACAAGTGCAGTATGTAAGATGACAAGTAGGAGAGGAAACGAGAGAAGACTGCATTGTTCAACATGTTAAGCATCTGATGCAGGTTATGAAGTAAAATGATCATTTTTGGCACAGGTAAGTTGTATGTTGTAGAGGGTACAATGATGCAGGACCAATATAAAACGGTTTTGGAAAAGTATTTTGTTCCACAGTTGAAAGAGTGGGCTGCAAAGAAAGGATTGCAGGGTGACTTATTTTTTGTGCATGCCATTTTTTTTATATTTACTTATTTTTTCATACATTGCCATTAGGGGAGTAGAGTTGCCCAGTATCTGACTTCTGAGGATATTAAAATTTTACATAGCCAGGCAAAAGCCCAGACATAAACCTCTTGAGAATTTGTGATCGATTCTTAAAGCTGACATGAGAAAGAAAAAGATTGAAAACAAGCAACAACTAATAGAAGAGATTATTAACTCATAAACAAGATATGTTAAATTGGCTGACAAGTGTACATCTCTGGTTCTCATGCCAGAAAGAACACTAACACTTCTGAAGGTTAAATGTTTACCAAGCACTAGATAACAATCTCTGTACTGAACTTTATATGAACAGTGTTTTTGAATGCAATTTTATGAAATTTTGGGAGTGAGTAAAAATGATTTGTCAAAAATTTGCTAATATGTGACTGATTTCAATTAACTTGGCCAAAATTGTACATTATAAAAGTGTTTTTTAATAGTGTGACATAATAAAAGTGTTTTTTAATGGTGCGAAAAAAAGAATTTGGTGTTCTTTCTTCCTTTTTTAATATAAATATATAATTTTATATTAAAAAAGGAAGAAAGAACACTAAATTTAATTGATACTAGTGTATAAACATGCTATTTATATATTGATATCTTGACATTTATTAACTTTTTTTGTCCATAATTTTAAAAACACTACTTAAATCAAGTCAAAGAAAAAGAATTATAGAGACAAGTTAGTTTTTTATAAAATATTGTAACTTAATATTTAAAAAAAAATGAATGACCTTTTGAACTTCTGATATGCAAAGATTGTTAAATTCCCAAACTGTTGATATAATTATAATGTAAAAAAAAATGTCAGCTTGCTTTCCTCACTGTATATAAATGAAAATGTTTTAGTTGCAAAATTTAAAAATACTTTGTTTAAAAATTTTAATGCGATACTTTGTTTAAAAAATTATATCAATTGATATTTTATTTTAATATATTTTTTATAAGTTTTTAACAAATTTATATTGACATAAACATTTCTCTATAAACAAACTCTCTATAATACGATACTATAATACAATATTACAAAAAATTATATCAATTGATATTTTATTTTAAATATATTTTTTATAAGTTTTTAACAAATTTATATTAACATAAACTTTCTCTATAAACAAACTCTCTATAATACGATACTATAATACAATATTACAATACAATATTGGAATAACAGGTCTTAGGATAGCGTTGAACATATTTGGGCGTATTCAGAACGTATTGAGAAATTGAGGACCTTTTTTTAAATAAAAAAAATTGGGTGCCAGAACAATTCTCATGCTTAAATAAATGTTTAAACTCCAACTGCATGAACATATGAATGTTAATATATTTATATATTGATTCATATAATAATATAGTATTAATATATTATTCTTGATATGCTCTTGAACTTACAAAAAATCATTCATTATTGAAATAACAATTTTATAAGAATTGCATACAAAAATATCACTGGACACTTAAAAAACACTGGACATTAATGTATCACTAACCACACAAGTATCTGCAAAACTATAAACATTACAAAATGTTATTGAATTTTTGTATTGCGTTTTACAAATACTGTTGTATTTGTAAAATTTGTAAAACTTCCTTGAGAAGAAAATTACAGCTAATTGCAAATCAAGATCCACTTATTGGATTTCCGAAAAAAATAGAATTTAAAAGAAACATCCAAAATTCTGGACATATTTTGTTAATGATAATTCCTGTATATTATATTATATAAATACATTCTAGTTGAGGCAGATTTTTTTGATTTTTTTGAAACTTCAAATCTTTTTTTTTTTTAAGTATGAACCCTCAACTCTATAACTCTGAATCCCGAACCTTTACAAAAAGATAAGTTTACGAGCTGTGTCTACTAACAATAATTTCTACTTGTGATATTAAATATAAATACAGAACATAAAAAAACATGATTACAAATTATTTCAACGTTAAAATACTTTTCAATAACTATTCAGTAATTTTTACCTGGATAGTTTATTATTAACATCTTGCTGAGTTAAAAAAAATTGTGTTCCAAGATCAATCTCCTGACAAATCTTTTCGTCTAATAATGTCAACGACTAAAATCATGCATTAAAAAAATCAAAATCAAAAATAGTACAACATAAAAACTACAATTAAATAAAAAAAAAGAATTAAAGATTGATGATTAATGAAAACAAAAAAAAATTCTGCTGCATTGCTCTAAAGTTATCAAAAAAATCTAAAGACTTTAAAAAAAGAAATCTTTGTTAGTAATATGGAAATGCACTGAAAACATGCTTAATAGATTACTAGTATATAACAAAGATTTTATCATTTATTATGATGATAAATGATAAAATCCCTCCCCCACCCCAAAATTTTGTTTAAAACTTTTATCATTAAAACTTATCAATAAACAAGGTGATTCAAAATTTGAGCTCTTAACTCGAAAATATTAAAATTTGGACATTTTGAAATTGAGTGTAATAAGTACTATTTTGTCTGCCAACATAGATTTTAATGAAGTACCTTTTTAATTTTTTAAAATTGTTACTTGACGATTTTCAAGGATGCTAAATCAAAAAATGTTGAAAAATATATTTTAATGAAGAACTTTTGATGGTCATTAGTTTTTTATCATGTTTACACTTGCTACTGATGGGCAAATAGCGTCACAAAGTAACTTTGTAATATAAGGTGTAATGTTCAAGTTTCTTCACCACAGCAAACAGTGCTCAATTAGAATTTGACATAATAAAGTGAATGTCATTTAACAACATAAATGCTGCTCGGAATTATGACTTTTGAAGATGTTTCTAATGATGAAAGAAAAATATATTATTGTTCAGAACTGGTCTTTTAAGAATCAATATTAAATAACAACTTGTCTTCAATATAAACATGTTTATTTGAAGCATTATGCTACTAAATTAACATGGTATTACCTAATTAATACCCAAACAAAGCCAAAAAAAATATTTATAACAATGACAACATTTTTAAAACTTGCATTATTTACAACAATAAGACTCTTTGCAGCTTTTTTTTAGCTCACCTTTAAAAAGTGTTGGAAAAAACCCAGGGTTTATAAAAAAAAACGACAATGACAATGAACACTTTTTAAACATTTTTGCACCACAAAAACTGTTAGCCTAATCGCTATCTTTTTTTTTCTTTAATTATACTTCCTAGGTTCCTGGAAAAGTCCTAGGCCTGATCAACACTATGCAGTAAATATTATTGCATTTAAATATGCAGTAAATTATTTTCTCATTTTTAGATCATAATCCTATTTTTAAAACAGAGTGAGAATAATTAGCAGATTTGGGGTGACATTAAACACTTCATAATGTTTTTATTTTTTAGATTATGGATAGATTCGTTTGCAAGTGGATTTGTGCCAAAGCTTAGATTGTTCCTATAAATATCTAATTTGGATTCGTTAAGAACCATTACAGCGTCTTCAACACCACGTTCTTTACTCTTTTCTGGAAGACTTTTATCACCTCAGTTATGTAGCTGAATCAAAGTAACACAATATATAGCTCTATTATGTGTGTTTCTTCACCTTTTAGTAAACTTGGTACTGATGTTCATTTTTCACCCCGCTGTTCATAGTCAGTTGACAATACATATTGTAAACTTCTAGTTAATATAAAATTTTTAAAACCTGTAAACAGATTTTTTTTTATTTATTTCACCAACAAACTTTATCCTTGTAAGTGCATACAAGTTTCCAACATGTTTTCTCATTAAATGAGCAAACATGTTGCAAATTTGCATGTACATAACAAATGTATTTAATGTTTTAAGGTTGCATGCAATAAACAAGGACAAGTCGACAGTCTAGTAAATTGTAGGATAATTTTTTTTGTTTGACAACTTTCCTCTTCACAATTTAAAAAAAAAATCAACAAAAAAACCAAATATATTTGGGTTTTTTGAGGTTTTTTTAAGATTTTTTTGGGTTGGTTTTTTTTTTTTACCAACCCTGCCTTTAAAAGTGCAGAAGTAGACACCAAATAAATTTCAGTTTAAGATAGCCTTGGTAACAATTTTATAGATATTAAAAACTCTTTTGTATTACAGGTAGTGTTTTCAAAAACAATCTCATATTGGTGCATTCTACACAGTGCTCGAAGTGGGGCGGGATGCAGTGGGATGCCATCCCATCACCTTTTCATAAAGTATAAACCATTCCACCACTTTTTTATAAATGTCTATATATAACAATAATTAGGCAGGATGGTAATCTTAATTTACCAAATACCATCCCGCTACTTTTATCCACTCTGAGCACTGACTTTACATATTTTTGTATACAGTACACCAAAACAAGAAAGTTATGTTGAATGTTGTAGGCCTTAAAACGCCTGACCATGAACTCATAATCATGAGTAGAAATTTGCAAAATTTACTAACTCATTTCTTCTTTATGTTTTAAGAGACCATATTTATACCATTATTTATATTAAACTGTCATACATCATTTCTTTCACTGAAAAAAATTTCTAACCTAAAAGGGTTGGGCAACTCCAAGAATAAGTGAAAATGTAACTCATGGTAACAAAATAAAAAATTAGTTTTGACGATCGAAAACTTTGCGTTGGACTATTTGTTCATAACCATTAACTTCAGCACCATAAAAATTTTGTCAGATAATAATTTTCATTATTTATTATTAAAACTATTTATGAAAAGGTAATGCAACAAAATTTATAATGGAGAATGTGAGCCCAAATAAAGAGTTTTTGGTCTAAATTTTAAAATAACATACCTTTTAACATGGCTCCAAGAGACTGAAACCATATTTTATATTAAGATAACCTAACATGTCTGTTTTCATTTGAAAAAAACTTGAATCCAAGAGAACTAGACAATTCTAGAAGTTGGCAAAAGCGCAACCCATATTACTAGAACAGAAAATTTGTCTTAACTTTTTTTAAATCAAATAATGACCACCTAAATTTTTAATTTGGTTATCTCAATATTTTTGTATTCGACCCCATAGAGATTATGTACTAACTTTAAACTTAGTTACTAGTTGTTTTCACTAGAACTTTACACAAGCTAACAAAAAAACTGATGAATTAATTTTGACATTAGTTTTTACATTTGGCATTAGTTTTAATACACTGAATTCAAACCTGACATTTTTCTGCTCCTGAAAACCAGATTTGAAACTTATTTAAAAAAGCTAGGGTATGGTTTAAAATAATATTATTTTTTAAAAAATTGAAAAATTTAATGGAAAATAAAAAACAGATGAAAACAAATGTTAGCTTTATGTTTAAAGTTTTTTAGAGTAAACATCATCTTTTAGAAGTCGGTTTAGGTTTTTAAAAGTTTAATGTAAACTTTATGTTTTAAATTCTTTGAAGAACCGCTCTCCTTTCTCTTTACTCCATAGTTTTCAGGAAACTGGTCAAGATTTATAAAAAGAAGTTTTACACTTATATTGCATCTAAGATTACAAAGGCTAACAATGGCTTTCAACACTTTAACATCTACCTTGGAACAGTTTCTGCTTTTTTTTATTTCCAAAAAAATTTTTTTTACAACAAAAAACAAATAACAAGCTGCTTTCTTCTGGCTGTATATGTTTTAACAAATTCTTTATTATTCATAAGATACTGAATTTGTGGTTAAAAAAAAACTCTTTTTTTTGTTTTTTTTTGTTTTGTTTTTTTATAGACAAACCTGTTATTACTGTAACTAAGTACTGAAAGAAAATACTATCAGTTTTAGTCTTAAACGAATTGTATAAGCTATAAAGTTATTTTTTAAAAGAAGCTAAAAAATTACAGTTCATTGTGTTGGTTTGACAAGATTCCAACTGATATTTTTGCAAAAATTGAGATTATGACTTTATTGGACTATTTGTATTATGAAAAACAAAATAAACTAAAATTTACTGCAACCTAGCCTAAAATAAAAAAAATAACTACCTATGTGTCAAAGTTCTATCTGCAGGTTTAGTTAACTAATAATTAGTTTGACAAGGCTTTAACTAACAGGTTAGGGTAAACACTAACAGTAGACTTTTCTAAAGTTTTTTTTAGTTAAATATATTATGATAGAGAATTTCATGCTCACATAATAGAGCTATATATTGTGCTACTTTGATTCAGCTTTTATAAGGTATTACTCTTTTTTTAAACTTAATAATGACAATTTAGTCTTCTCACAAACATAACATTAGTTAATGTACATTTTGCCGCGCATACCTCTCAGTCAATGTAAGGACGTTTAACTGTGGTATCAACTGAGCATTATGAACTAAATAGATGGTGGACAATACCGGTAAGCAATTTCTAGTAAGATATCAGATGTTGTGGTAGAGGAAAAGCAACATGACTAACTTAGTTACTTGGTCTGTTGCGTCCCTCAAAATCAGAACATAATATTGAGCAGTGTGTTACATTACTAGCAAATAAAATACTACCAAGTCATTTATGTTACTACAAAATACTTACTTCCTACTCTTTTATGTGTCCAGAAAGTGGATCATGCGCATAACTCAATTGAAAAGCTCACAAGGATAGCAATTTTTATAGTCCACTTGGATTAAAATGGAAAAAATCCTTATCATTATAATTATGTTATATGTTCAAATAAGACTTCAAGGACTATTGATTAACTGCAAAGCTACTTAACTACAAGTTCTTTTTTTCTAACACTCTGCTGCGCTAAAATTATATATCCATGATTGAAATGAACCTATGATTTGTGTTAATATCAAATTTAATAAAAAAAACCTAACAGAAAAATTCCGGGCACTAGCCCATTAACTTCTAGAGTTTTGAATGTTAAACCAAAGATTTAAACTTGAAGAAATTAAGGCTGTATTTTCTTATGAAATTGATTTACTCAAAACAACTCACAAATCAGTTAGAACCTTGTCAAACCAATGTGACGATTTATTAAAAATGTCATTTAAAGTTTTATGATCTCTAAATTTATTCTTGTCTTGATAGAAGCCAACACTCTTTGGTTGTTTGGAGGAGGCATTTGAACTTAAAAAAGATCTCACTTCTGCTACAGCATGGGGCTTTCAGTGGCTAATGAACTTTAATTCAGATAAAACTAAATTTTTTTCAGCTAATCATTGTTGCAATAATCTCGATCTTCCAATATTTATGAATGGTAATGTACTCAATAAGTCATCTACCCTTTATCTTCTAGGATTAACTCTTCTAATCTTTCTTGGAAACCATATATCAAATCAGTTTCAAAATTAGCATCTACTAAAGTTACATCTCTTTGTCGTGCTAGCCACTTTCTTACTGCCTGATTCTTTTTCTTTATCTTTATAAATATCAAATCCATCCTTGTATTGAATACTGTTGCCATATCTGAAGCGGATCTTTGAATGATGCCTTTACTCTTTAAGGCACGGTGCAAAAACGCATTGTTAACATATTTGGACCTACATTGCAGCCAACCTTCAACCATTGTCACATTGTTGTATTGTTGCTTCCCCCTCTCTTTTCTATAAATACTATAATGGGTGCTGGTCTAAAGAGCTAGTGTCTCTTGTGCCATCTACAAAAATTCATTCTTGTGTTACTTTTTTTACTGTGACTGTTCCTAAGTGCTCAAAAAATTCTTATTTGTCAAATTTTTTTCCTCAAGCATCAGTTCTTTGGAATCTGCTTCCTTCATCTTGTTTTCCTGAATCATATAATTTTGAGCCTTTTAAGTCATCTGTCAATCATTATCTTGCTCTATTAACTTCATCTTTTCTCTTTCAATAACTTCCAACTCTAATAGTGGTTGCTTGCAGTCTTGTTGGAAGTGAATATGTCAAAAAAAAAAAAATTTTTCCAGAATATTAACGGGTAATTTTAGATAATATTTTATTTTTTATTTTGCTTAAAATGGAGCCACTCTAGAGCTGCTTCTGAGCAGGAGCCAAAAATTCTAATGGAGCCAGAGTCAATTTTTAGACCTCGGCTCAAACGCCCCTAGCTGGTGAGCCCAACTTCTTCCAATGTATACCACAAACAGATATTAGGTTATCTGGCTGGATGTGGTTACGGCGCTCAATAAGCTAATGACTATGCTGACAATTGTGCACACATTCATTTGAAAGACTGTGAACTCGGATCTAAAATCTCACTTTATAGCACATTACTCTACACCAGTATGGGGTAGTAGCTCTTTTGGAGTGATGGCTTGTGGCCTACAGTGACTAATGTGTGCATTCGATCAATTAAAATCTATTCTGTAGGTCTTATGTCTGGGTCTGATGTGCTAGTCCATAAGTGCAAAAAGTGAGTGTGTTTAGCTTTCTATTTGAAAGTGAACAAAAACAAACGAGACCATACTAGACAACCAAAAGGAACACACTTATGCACTTTAGACATCAACAGCCTCTAAAATCAGTAAATCAAATCATTATTCTTTTTTGGATATGTTCTACACACAGACTGACTAGAGCATTAGTTATTACTCCACCTGCCCCCTAAGCATCTTCGTTCTTCTACTTCACAAAAGTCTTACCACACATTTTATATTTTCTTATGACTTTTATTTTTTATTTATCAACAACACCTACAATCTGTTTTCGTTTTCACATCTCCCAGGTCTATGTACCTGGACAGTTTTTATAATAACCTCTTAGTTTTTAGTCATAATTTTCGAAAAATAAGAAATTATTGGATGAAATTTGAAATTTGTTGATGAATATAAACTTAGATAAAAATACTAAAAAAATTATTTTATCAACTTGTTGCTCCCACATTAAGGGCCGGGTGGGCCCAAAAATTTGGGTTTTTTTGTCCCCAAGCTCCAATCACCACAACTTTTTGCAAAACATTCTCATTTGACATAAGTATGAACATACAAAAGTTTGGAGTTTGCACAATACCTGTAAGTGTCAAAACTCATATATATATATATATATATATATATATATATATATATATATATATATATATATATATATATATATATATATAAAATATATATATATATATATATATATATATATATATATATATATATATATATATATATATATATATATATATATATATATATATATATATATATATATATATATATGTATATATATATATATATATATAGACACACACATACATACATAACAATAAAAATATACATACATTCACACCAGCCAAAATAACATTTTTCGCTAAAAAAAAAAAACATGATTATATTTACACTCTCCTTTTTTTACTATTAAAATAATTTTAAATCTTTATTAAAGATAATAAAAGTTAGAAATAATCAACAAAACATACCAACTTCAACACCAAGTCCTCCTAAACCTATGATAAGAACATTTGATTTTGCAAGTTTTTGCATAGCATTGTCGCCAAGTACATATCTTTGACGGCTAATAAATACAATAAATAGTGATAAGAGTGAATAGCAGAATATTTTTTAAAGGTTAAGGTTCATGGTCCTATTTTTTTAGGTTTAAGGCCCTTAACCATCCAAACTACACATGCGCGGCTTGGATGGTTTACCATTTATGCCATTGTCTCATTTATAAATTATGGAGTATATTATATTATGAAAAAGTTTAACCAGCTTTTTACAACCAAGAGCCTAACTAGCCTTATCTTGTTTTACTTATGAAAAATAAACTTTTTTTTAGGGATATAATTTAAAATAACTTTAAATGTCAAATATTATTGGATAAATTTTTATAATACCTGTAAAGTGAATCATCAATTTCATCCTTGACAACTACTGTTTCCATTTTTTTTTTTGTTAATTAAAATATTTTTCAAGCAGCAAGCAATTCAACAACCAGATTATGCTAGTAAAATATTTTTCAAAACTGCATTTTTTTGTTTTTTTGTTTTTATTTTTGTTTTGTTTTGTGTCTATAAAAATGTAAAAACAATAAAGATATACATATAATAAAAAGTTAAACAAATATATATATGTGAAAGTTTTTAAAAAAGTCAATGAAATTACCCTTGTTTAACTTATCCAACTCGACTATTTTATTCTGTAAATTTATGTTTAAACATATAAATTTAGACATTTTTATTATAAAAACATGAAAATTTTTTTAACACAGGACCCAAAATTAGTGTCAGACATCTTTTGAATGCCTAACCTTGTACTTTTGCATAAATAATTTGATAAAATTGCTCCATGGACTTACTAAAAAGAAATTTTTGTAAGAAATTTTACTAAAAAGAAATTTCTTATTATTAAGTTTTTAGAGTTTTTTTTTAATTAAAATAAATTTTTCCATGTTTAAATTAATTAAAGTTAAATGTTCAATTCTTTTTTTTTTGATGCCCTTCCTGGTTTGACCCTAACCTGTTATGCAGATCAGGTTTTGAAAAATGTAAAAACATTTTTTAAATAATAACATAATTAGTTTATATTATAAATATGTAAATAATCAAATACTAAAAAATTATGTTGACTAATATAATGTTGACTAATAATAAAAAATAAATCTTAAACAGCATATATTTGTTATCTCTATATAATAAAAATAACATAAATAGCTAATTAAAAACAATGCATAAATAAATTCCAGAAACAAATTTTTCTAATAAAATAAATATATTTATTTATTGATTGCACAAAATGCATATATATATATATGCAATATATATTGCATAACATATATATATATATATATATATATATATATATATATATATATATATATATATATATATATATATATATATATATATATATATATATATATATATATATATATATATATATATATATATAATTATATATATAACATAATATATATATATATATATATATATATATATATTTAATATATATATATATAAATATTGCATAATATATATATATATATACATATATATATATATATATATATATATATATATATATATATATATATATATATATATATATATATATATATATATATATATATATATATATATATATATATATATATATATATAGACAGATATATATATAGATATATATATATATATATATATATATATATATATAGATATATAGATATATATAAATCTGATTATTTTATTTGTTGCACTCCATTTGCAGCTTCATAAACAACAATATGACTTCCAATCCTTCCTTCTGGAAAATGAGTGTGAAAAAAAGATGCAACCTAGAACAAAAAAGATATTTTAAGATACAACTTTTTACAAGTACAAATTTTTATCAAAATTAATTTATAAGTATTTTTAAATAACATAAATCCAAATACAGAATAATTTGAACATATATATATATATATATATATATATATATATATATATATATATATATATATATATTTAAATGTGTGTATATATATATATATATATACATTTAAATGTGTATATATATATACATATATATATATATATATATATATATATATATATATATATATATATATATATATATATATATATATATATATATCAGGCCTTGTGATGAAGAGGGAGCAAGCGCACGTGAAACACGACCATAAACGACCTTCCGGGCATGACATATAGCGCTCGCTAGTTTTGTTAAAAGAGTAAAAAATCGCGCTCATTTGAAGAACTTGCGAAGGAGAAAATTATATCTTGATTTTATAGAAAATATCTTTATTAAAAATATTTTAGCTGAAGTCAAAATATCTTTAAACAGCACAGTTTGCATATTGTTAAATAAAGAAATTATATTTGTAATAAAGTATGTCCTGCATAATTTATGCGTGACTTACTTAAATTTAATTTATGCGATATAAGTTCAAATTAAAAATGATTTATTTCTTCAATTTAAAAGCTTAATCCAGTGTGTTTTTTTTTTAAAAATTCCAGTTAAACTTTATTATATTATCTGCTTAATCATTCCCTGGTTAAGTTAAACCATTTGCTGATTCATATAGTTTTTTAGGGTCTATTTGACAAAAAAAACTTTGCGTAAGTTGAACTTTTACTTAGAATTGCATAAAAGTCCATGTAATAAAAGTATTAAAACTTGTAACACTTAAATAAAAACTCCAAACTTAAATGTTAAAAAATTAAATATCTTGCTTAATATTTATAAATACCTAGCGTAATATTTATAAATATCTTATAGATAAATATCTAGCATAAAATGTTTATCAAACTAAAACTCCACCTAAAGCTTCGATTTCGTACAGGTTCCATCACATTCTAATAATAATTAATGACTATTATATTTAAAATTCAAAAACACCCAAATGTTGGAACATCAAATACTTTTTGTCAAATATAAGCTAATAAATTAAATACTTTCACAGGTATCATTGAATCAAATTATTAATTTCACAGGTATCTTTGAATCAGTTAAGTTAACTTTGAATCAGTTAAGCTTATATTAAAGTATATTTATTAAAAAAGCTAAAGCTAAACCCAACTTAAAATTAAAATAAAAAAGTTTCAATAAACTTAATGTTTAGCAAATATATTTGTTATATAATTTTGAATTGAAACTTATAAAAGCCTGCTCATAAACAACAAAAGAGAAAATGTCATGCCACTAGTTTCACAATGTATTTCTCAAAATATACATCAGCAAATAAGTTATTTATATATTATAGTTGTATAAGTATATATATACTTACACAAATAAATAATGAGGCCGGAAGGAACAAAAATTATATTGAAGGGAGGATGGGGGGAGGACAGAATGAAATGTTTATTATTTTCAAAACGTTTTCTCCCAATGAGAATAGAAAATTTATATTAAAAATTAAAACTTATTTGAATTTCGAAAAATTTATTTTCCTTTGCTTTATTGTTTTTAATTTTTCACACATCTTTTGTAAATAAAAAAATATCTTTTTTTTTTTTTTGAAACTATTATTTATTTTTAAAATAAATTAAAAACATTTCTGTTGTTTAGAATGTCTGCAATCAAGCATGTTAATTCAACTCCAAAAATGAAACTTTTCGAGTGACCCCTCCCCATACTTGCGTACTTAATTTACGGATGGCCGCATAGCAACCAATTTCCAATTCTAAATATCGCTCTCAAAGACTTGATGCCAAGCATGCATAATCGCGCTCGTTGATAATGTATTTCAGCATTACGAGTGCGAAATATCATACTGGGCAATTTTATTCATCACAAGCACTGATATATATATATATATATATATATATATATATATATATATATAATATATATATATATATATAAATTAGTAAAAACACTTATCTTATTTTTAGCTGTCTTTAACAGCATGTTTCACCATCAGGAGATTCATTAGGAAGCTGATGGTGATAACATACTGATGGTGAAACTAATTTATTATTGCTCATTCTTTAACCCTCTGAATGCTTGATAAAATTAAAAGATGTTTAGAAAAAATCAACTAATAAAAACCAAAATGGAAAAACAATTTTTAGATTTGTATGCCATTATTCATTTTATAACATCTACAAAATTTATAAACAAAAAATTTTAGCCCTCATTAATATAATATTGTA